ATGTGATGTCTATATATAATATTTGATGAAACAGACAGTAGTACAAAGGATAGGGCCAGGCATAAGATTAGAAGACACAATAATACTACAGTACTTTTTTTCTATTTATTAAAATTCGGTATGTTCATATACAAAAACGCATGAAAATGAAGTACAAAAAAACAGACAGGTTAGCGGAATACTAAAAGAGAAGCGGAATACGAAAAGAGAAATGGGCTTCTTAAAGCCTGGCACCAAAGAGAATTCTCTCAAAACCGCTAACCTGTAAAAAAAAAAAGACAAAAAAACAAGGTACAGCCTATATCACTAGTGTAGTGTGTTAAAAAAAAATATTATTTCGGGCATTGTGACTGAGATACACTGATAAAATAAAGTTGCTGTCGCAAGCACAAATTTGATTCATGTTGTAATAATTTTAATTAATAACTCAAGCTTTAGTGTTAGTAAAAAATACCAAAAGCATACCAATCTCTATATTAATGAATACATTATATATATGTAACCAATATATTTTATTTATTTTTAGGCACACCAATTTCAGATTCTGTACAGATTTGCAGACAACGACGGTTATGAACGTGCAATGTTAAAAACTTTATAATGATGCGTAAGGATTCAACCATTGAACTCTAATCTACTCAGAATGCCGCAAATGCAGCAGACTAACCTGCCTATGGAAAAACAAAAACTTGCTTAAAAAAAATAAATAAAAAACCACTGCTGCAGTGTTCTGTTATTGATTTAATTTTTTTTAAATACAGGCTTTAGGCTTTGTTTATAAAGAACAATTGTCTTCATTATTATTATTACTATTACTTACAGAAGAAATAAGCAAATTAATTATGTTTAATGCTTATGCAAATATAAATAATTTCTTATTTTAGTCAGATTTTTTAGTAAAGTACCAACCAGAAAATGAAATGTACTCTTGTTTCCTGCACTGTATCAAAGTTTGTGTATATGTCAGTCTTGAAATGTAGGCTTACCACCATAGTTATTGAAATAAATGTTCTGAAGGATATCATAATCAAATACTGTACCACCATGTATATTTATATTCCATAATAATTTAAGAGATAGGCTAGTATATACATGTGAATGTGTACTATGTAATAAAGTATTACAGTATTTATTACTAAGTATTTTTATAAAAATGTTGTTTTATGTCCTGAAAATCGCATATATTGAGTGAAATTGTGAATGACAGGGTGAATCTGTGAAGCATGATGTACACTGGTCATTTAGCCAACAAGATACTGATTTCGGAAGGAATGGAGCCATTTTTAAAAAGGAAAATCGTCACCGCATATTTACGGGTACGCTATATGCTAGGCCCCCCATGTGTCCACTGCTTAGGCCTCAGTCTCGCATACGAATCAAATAGAGACAAACTGTATTATTGTCTATAAATTACTGATTTAGAAGATTACATACCTAATAATATTTATTCTAAGGGTATATATTTATTTCATACAAATTAATTATTTGTGTAGCACACGGTCTTCGAAATGTTCTGTATATTACGATCTTCCCGAGTACGATCGCCGATATTTACAAAATGGAGTACACGCTAGTCTTCGAGTGCAACGAAATGGAGGCACCCTTAGTTTCCAGAGTCGGATTTGCGTCCCCGGGGCTCGATTTTTCATCTTAATATTTTAAATTATAGATTATAAATTTTTACAGCAGGGATTTTGAATGCGTTACTGTTCAAATTTTTTTTTGTATTTTAAATTCGCGAATTACTAAAGCACAAACTCGTAAAAATTGAAATTACTCTTTATGGTTTCGGTCCAAATACACCAAAAATATTTCACTATATTGTTAAACTATTTATAAACTTATTTCACTATTATGTTTGTTTTGTTAAGTAAGTTACTTGATGAATTAACGTTTTTTCAAACACCATCAAATTCTGAAAATTTGAACTAATTTCGAAAAATAGGGCGCCCTCTCCTAGGCGAAATTCGACACGATTTTTCCAGTGGCTTTCCTACTGGTGCAGGGTACTAATAGGATAACTTCTTCGGGGCCAATGTGGAATGGGGGCTCGGGGCTTCGCCCGCCATACGCCCATAGGCGTAGACCTGCGCTACTGAATACAAATTGTAAAATTATATATCATTATTCTTCTAAACATATATTTACAGTGATATTACATACAATTTCTGGGATACAAAATATCAAACCTGCAAATGAAAAAGATCCGAACATTTTTATATTTTAGTATCTTATTAGACAGCGGCGTAACTTGGTTCGAGACAGGGACGTATTCAGGGGGGAGCCGTGGGAGCCGCGGCTCCCCCCCCCCCCTTTGTACACAGTGTTAAAATTTTAAAGCTTATTCTTGAGCCTGACATACAAATTTTTGAAAATTTAAAACTGGGTGAAAAAAAGGGACGTGACAACCCTTTTTCCACCAGTTTTTTAAATATTCAAAAATCTATATCTCATCAACAGCTCCCGAGTATTTTGTTATATCTTGTACAACATATCAACATTTTTTTTTCTTCCGAGCTGGCTTTAAAGTTTACTTCTGTCACAAATAACATAACACAGTCTCGTCCTTTGCATATATGCATTTAGCGTCAAAAGTCATTAAAGGGTCATCTTTCTTTATGATAATATTATTAATACATTATTGTTTTATCTTACTGAATTAAAAACACTTTCACTTTCACTCTTCGGGGCCAATGTGGAATGGGGGCTCGGGGCTTCGCCCACCATACGCCCATAGGCGTAGACCTGCGCTACTGAATACAAATTGTAAAATTATATATTATTATTCTTCTAAACATATATTTACAGTGATATTACATACAATTTCTGGGATACAAAATATCAAACCTGCAAATTAAAAAGATCCGAACATTTTTATATTTTAGTATCTTATTAGACAGCGGCGTAACTTGGTTCGAGAACCCTGGTTCGAGAATATAGTCGGGGCCTTTGACGAATATAAATTCGCCGACCAGGCTAAAGTAAGCTTTAAACAGATAAAATTACTCTTTACTTAAGTAATCTGTACAAAACCGTCCCAAGCTGAACACCATCCCGGTATCCCAGAGTTCAGATTTTTGGCCGTCAAAAATGATTATTTATGAAAGAGAATAATTTACAATTTATTACTCCTTTTTTATGCTTGTGTATCTGGGCCTTCGTGAAGTCTATTCCCCAACCTCAGTAGGGGGTTACTCTTTACTCGCTGAATAGGATACGTCATCTCTTACCCTAAATAAAACTTTCATGGATGCTTCATCCAAAAATCATTTAGTCCAAAGTGTGCATTCACCTACTTATTAGTAAGCATCAATAACTCTGCATGAAAAAGAATACTTCCTTAAATTGTTAAAACTACGAGTTGTATCTTAACTTTCTGTTCTCTAGTTTTCGACAAGTACTAAGCTAAAAAATGTAGTTGCATTAAATTTAACCACTGACAATCTAAAACACTTTTACAGTATCCGATCTAAGTCGTTTATACTCTAACGTTGGTAATCCAAGAGTTCTTAGCCTAATATCACATGACAAGTCATGCAGTCCAACTACCAATTTAGTAGCCCTTCTATAAAAAGCCTCAATGAAATGTTGGTTCCAAACGGAGCTTTTATCTCATATAATATACAAAATACTTCAGGGGTATTGCGAGTAGGCCGAAATGTTATTTTAATAATCCTAACATAGAGTTAGCTATATCAATGATACTAAATGATTGTTAAACTTATTTTTATATATTTTGTTTTTTGTTATCAAAAACGATACCAATGTCTTTTTGATTGTCAACCTCTGTTATAGTTACTGCTTTATCACTCTCAAGAATCATGTACACATTTATGTTGTCATCCCCACAATATGCATTGAATGCATGGCATTTACTAGCATCAAATTTCAGTTGCCAAGACACGGGATTATTTCGTAAGATATCTGAATGTTCTGAGAAATTGTAAAGATTTATATCGTCAGCAAATATTTTAACCCGCGATAGCAATACCCGCGATTGCAATCCATTAACTAAATCATTTACATATTAAAAACAAAATTGGACCCAACACATTACTTTGTGAAACACCACTTGTAACGTCTGAGAGAATGGAGGAGGAACTACTACTTTTTGGTTTCTACTCGTTAAAAAATTAATCCACTTTACATCTAAGACCATGCATTAACTTTTCGCAACAAAGGAAACACAGGTACCAAGTCTAAATATATTGTGGTGATATCAACAACATGAAGGGCGCTCTCTGGGAGAGAGTGTTGTAGAGACAAGGGGAGAAAGAACAATAAAGATGGATGATGGAAATAAACAACGTGTCCGTGTGTCATCCTTGTCAATGTTGTGTGAATGTTGATCGTTGATCCCGGTCCCCAAAAACGCCACAATATTACACTACTGAGCCACCACTATCCAAAATACTTGACCAATGGTAAACAACCTCTAACAATTGTATTGGGATTGACAAACCATGAGAAAAACCTTGCTGAAAATAAGTTATATTATTTCTACCAAGATGTTCCATTGTGTAAGAGTGTGTTGATAATATTTATAAGGGACCCTAAATTGTTCAAAATTTAATTCATCAATGCCATAACTAGATGAATTGAGTCGTTTGTTGCTTTTTCTCTATGAATAAATGAAGTGTAAGAAACACGAATACATAATAAACAATATAAATAACAATGACTATATTTTACACGAGTTATAGATAGTCACTAGCCTTCGGGTAAGCAATTTGTCTTGAGAAACTGTGCTAATTTATGAAAATATTAATGTTTATGTATAGAATTCATGTAATAATTATTGTTTGTTTATTATAGTTATGTGTACTGGTGCTGTGTTTCAAAACGCATGTTATACAATTGAATGCAACAATAATGATTTCGATGATGCGGTGATAAACTGTCAATCAGTAAATGCTGCCCTTGTATCAATTCATTCACTGGAGGAAGACAACTTTGTCAAGCAACTTGTTAAAGATTCTAATTACAATCGTGTATATATAGGCCTCCAGCTAATAGATGAGACTTTATCAACTTACTATTGGAATGATAACAGTTCAGTTGATTATATGTCTAATGCAACCGACTTCGAAACACATCATCTTGAGAGATGCCACATTATTGACAAATCTAGAGGATATGACTGGGAAGAAGATGAATGTTCTAATGACTATTGTGGTATGTGTAAAAAACAAGGTAATTAATAAAACTAAATTATTAAACTCAATATTAAGAAACATTTTAAATGTTATCCGAATGATGTTCTAATGAATACTGTGGTATGTGTAAAACAAAAGGTAATTAATTATTCAAACTAAATTGTTAAAACTCAATATTAAAGAACATTTTAAACGCTATCCGAATGTATTTGCTTAGGCTATTTTATGGTAACATTTTTATCATTTTAATCTTAACAATTTTAAAATTTAACTTGTCTAATTCTTTTAATCTTTTAAAGTTCTTGAATTGAATTTTTACACTTCTTTGCAATGTTTTTTATAGTTCATTTTACCCCTCTTTGTTCGTTTTTCCGGTTTTTATGCTGCTGTTTTTTACTTCGGTGTTTTGTATTCACTTGTTAATGTAAGGACCCCAACGGAAATAAGGTTTCTTTTTTACCTTTCTTGGGTCATCCTTAGTATTATGTCCTTGTCTTCCCTGTTTTTGTTTGCTTTGTATTTTTTGTAAGTAATGGAACTGAATAAAATCAATCAATCAATCAATTATAATTACCAAAGAAAAATATTAAATAATTATAATGATGATGATGATGATGATGATGATGATGATGATGACGATGATGACAACGACAATGGCATGATGATGATGGCACGATGATGATGATAGTAATGATGTTAACGTTGGTAATAGCTAGTAATAATTGGTGATGGCAATTGGATAAGTGGTTGTGTTCACAGGGCGGTGTCGTTTGATATCACGTAGGAACAACGGATCAACAGATGTTAACGTAACATGAATACTAAAATATTACTAACTGATCCTGCATCTATTTGGATCCTTATAAACACACTGAATTATACGGACTGTACTGTCATTTCGAACAGTTATTTACTACTAATCCACAGAACCACATACTAAGTCATCATCATCATCATCCTATAATGTGCATAAATCTCGTATGAGTATACTCGCACAGCGTTGGTGGTCAATTATGTTCACTTGAGAAAATTAACGGATGTGAATATCAGATACCCTGTCCTTAAATGTGTGGATAGATGGTAAATCAACAAATCTTTAAACAATTTATTGAATACATTAAATCTTTCCTTAATTTATTCTTAAGTTACCGCAATGTAAGAAAACACGGTTAAGTCTCGACCTTAAAAAGTTAATGTAATTGCTGCGAAGCAGCCAATTCATATTCTTGACAGCAATTTGACCTCTGAAAGGTCATTGTTTGTCAAAAATCAATCGCCTGAGACAACTGAAAAGCGGAGTTTCCTTCTTTCGTTCTGCCGCGTAAAATCAATTACTTTAGGCGACGTTTGTAGACTAACCTACTCGTACCAACGTCGGCATGTCGCGACGCTGGAGTACATATTCAGCGTTTTTACTATATTTCTAGGTTTCCTATTTCTACGTTTAATCGGCTCATGTCTCAGCCACAATATTTTGAGGACAATATTATTTACGAACCCAGTTAAACTTATTTACTAGCCTATTTCCACGTGCTAATTATTACATTTATGCGACGCTTGTTGTAGACTGGCATAGTGTTTGCGGAAATAAATACCATTTTATACACATGCGCAGATCGATTCGCCAGGAGCGAGTCATCGCCAGCAGCAGCGAGCCATCGCCAGCAATAGAGATGTCACTGCAGCAAAACACTATTGTACTAACGCTGTTCTAATAATATATAGACAATGGGTCGTGCTCATATTATTTGTTATATTTTTATTATTCATTATTTTCACTTGACTCGCATAAATAATTTTGTTCGAAGAACATTTTATGCAGTTGTACTTCACAGCACTTCACTTGCAATTTGCAATTTCTAGTTTAGAGAATGGGCCTGGTTCAGCGACAGGGACCTATTTTTAAAGGGATGGGTACGTTTACACAGATACGTAGAGCAAAAAGAAAAAGCAATAATATGGTTATTTGAAGCACGGACCCACTAATTGGTGGTATGGAATTTTAAAAATTCTTCTACTAAAAGTAAATCCCACAACTCTGTTACCATTAATCATGGTACCCTTATTAATAACTCTTTTGAAATTCAACTTTTTTGTTAAACAGGCTTCTGTGACGCTACGTGTGTTGCACCAGATTCTTGCTTTCCTACACATTCATGACTTTCCATCTAATAGCATAGATGAAATCAAAATGGCCGCGAATAAAATGACCCACGAATAAAATGAGCAATTTGGAATATCTTGGCCGTGTGAGAACATAATTTCCGGTATTATCTTTAAAAATAAATGTATGCTTGGAATGCTGAGAAATAAGGCAAATAACATTAAGATGCTCGCTTAGTATTATTAAACATGATTTGTTATGTTATGTTATTTGCTATGCAGTGGTACTTTATACTTAAGGCTGTGCTTTGTGTAAATAAAACATTATTTGTTATTTTGGCTTTAATTTCCTGGCTTTTTATTTGTTTTTAGGGTGTGACTTAACTTACCCCGATCAATGTTGCAACTAAACCCACTCGAGGGGTAAGATGCATTAACTGCTTTTCCCCCTTCAATCCTCTGTATTTCCTAACTACTGATTATTTTACCATGAAATAACATTTTGGGATTAGATATCAGCCTATTTTTTTAAGGCTCTGCTCGACGCTCAATCTTGATCAGTCTTCTGCCAACAGTAGGGAGCTTTCGATTTGTGCAACAACGCGACGCTAGAACGGAATCACTCATCCGTGACCGTCCCACATGGCGTCCTACGTTCTTTGCATACGTAGATTATTACGCTATACGTCCTACCGTCGTCGTGCAATCGAAAGCTCATTAATGCCTCTACCCGTACTGCCCTCCTTGAAACACATTGATCTATTATACTTATTTGTTGCTTTTTGATTATCATGAATTTGTTTTTGGCTAATGCTAAGTAAGTGTAAAGGTTATTGTTTTCTTGTATAGCAGTTTTCTTTTATTAAATTTCCAAAAACACACATTGAAAAATTTCACCGACCCAGCGGCAACATAACAAATTGATAGACCAGAACGAAGAGACAATAAAAATAACAATTGTTTTAATATTATTAATTATTATTATTATTATACTAATAATAACATCACAAAAACAACAATTAAGCAAAACTTTCAGAAAAATATATATATTTTTAGTATATCGTAACTAGGCACTCTAGCTCCAGCAGGTATAAACGTATCATTTAAATCATTTAGAAACTAGGTTAGGCCTATGTATTTATTTTACTTAATTTAATTATTATTAGGCCTTCTATCATATTATTATATTATCAGATCATGGAGAAAATAAAATATTTTATTTTCTCCATGATCAGATCTATCTTACTTGGCTTTGGCTTGGTTTACCATGCCTTAATTAACTCCACCCAATCTTGCCATTGTTCTTAGGCTTTTCATTACACGTTTTGTATTGTTTCTTTGTTTTATTATAGCCATCCATTGGTTAATCTGCGTTCTGTAATCCCATTGGTTAACCATAAGCCTATGTATTTAATTCTATCTTACCATGTTTTATTTCATAGCTTGATAAAGACTTATAGTCGAAAGTACTCGCTAACTCTGAAAATAAATTTTGTGGCATATATCTGATACCATCTGACTCGTTATTTACTGTATGTATATTTGCCTATACAGCATCACCTTTATTTGATATATATATATATATGTATATACATATTTACGATATTCTATCCAGTATAGTGCTAATAGTTCTGCCTAGTTATTTTTGTTGTTATTATTATTATTAGGCCTATTATTATTATTATTACTCGAAAAATAGCTCATCTGTGTTGGTGTTCGAACGTACATACATAGCATAACACCGAAATATGCACACACACATATGCAGATTTTTGCATGATATACATATAATGATAATTATGTTATTATTAATCAGTCGTGTATCAACGAGAGTAGGGCCCGGAACGAAAAAATGTTGGGGCACCTTGTATATTACCAAAGTATTTTCACTTACTCAGTGACCAGGGTGGGTAGCATACCGTTTAACAATATAATCAACTAATATTTGGCGCAAACATTTGTTAATTGAATATTCGACGGTGATGAGTCAACAATGAATCTCAGATATCAATAAAATATTTTTTAGAAAATCCTAAAAAATCAACTAAAATATTGAATTGTTAATATAAAATGATCCGTTAAGTCCACAAGAGACACAATGCGATATTTTAATGTACGTGTGTATCATGCATAGCCTTATGTTCTCTTTTTTAATCAAACAGATTGCAGACATTATGAAACAAATGACCAGTATATCTATCAATATAACCTACCACGTATACAAAGCTTTGCCTATCCACCATTTGAGTTCTCCGTCAAGGCACAAAATGATGTACACATCGCACTTTCTGCACAAGATACAGACCTCGACCCGTTATACGAAATCGTAATAGGAGGATGGGGCAACACAAAATCCACCATTAGACGATGTAAACTGTGTAAAGGCCTAGTGTATTTTCAGAGTTCTGGGTTTCTTGACCCAAATGACTACCGACGTTTCTGGATCCAGTTTGTTGATGGTAATATTGCAGTGGGATATATCGGAGAGGTCGCTTTTATGACGTATAATGATCCTAACCCCCTTGATGTCAACTACGTGGGTTATAGCACAGGCTGGGGCAGTTGTGGAAGCTTCCAGTTCTGTGGCATAGGTGGGTAAATTGAAAATGTATTGTTTTGATTCTTGTGCACACTGAATCGTCTGATCGTCAGTCAACGAATTTCGTCATCCGCTGATTATCGACGGCAAAGTATATAGGCTGAAATTAGACTACAATTTAATTTTCTGTTTGTACTTCTTAGATTTATAAATTGTTTCCCTCATCTAAACTTGTTTGTTACAATGGGTGTATTCGACTGGTTCATTTTCGTTTAATATTATTCTCATTCGACTAGTTCATAAATAGACTTCGTTGACAACGAAAACTAACGTGCGTTATTCAGCGTTATTCACGTCACCAAAACAAACATTGGTGAGTTTAGAAACAACAGTTTTGTTAATATAATTTAGATTAAATTTCAGAAAATAATAATTATAAAATATACCCAGAGGAAGTCAAAAAATAATTGTAGGCCAACAGAATTCAAAAACTGGATTAAAATATTTTTTTTAAACTAAAAACCCATACTGCCACAAGCTGAAGAAATCTTGATTACATGGCGTATCGCGGTAACTATGCAGCCATTGTGTTTTGTTGACTATTTACACGTTTTCTATTCTTCGTTAAGTACTATTTTACCACTGTGCAGGTGGGCGTGGTTTAACGAAGAACGACCAGTCGAAATTAATTGAAGCCTGGTTCTCACGAGAGCCCTAGTATCCGGATCAGGAGCTAACCGTTAGCGCTAACCGTTAGCACCTGCGTGAGAACGCCCGATCGGTTAGCGCTAACCGTTAGTGGTATCCGGATACGCTAACGGTTAGCAAGCGCTATCGGTTAGCAAGTTGAGGGCGTTTCTATTATCAACCAATCACACATACGCGTTTACAATTTCCAGTTTCTTATTGGCCAGTGATTCTATCATCATATTTTTGGTATCCGGATCGAGATTTTCTCGCATGGACGCACGGCAGCTAACAGATCCTGCTAACCGTTAGCTGCCGTGTGAGAACATAGCCTGAATTAGGTCCATGCATAAATCATCATTTGCGTACAACACGTGCATTTCAATAGCGTGCATAGTTTATATGCTT